CCATGCAATTGCATTACATCATTATGCGCGCAACTTCTGTAGTTGATTTTGTAACACGTTCTGAATATTTTTTACCGTCAGCGTGCGGGATACGTGTGAAAAGGTTTTATAGGAACAGGAATCAGCGTTAGCACTTGCGCACATTGAGAACATATAGGACTTGAAGAGAGCCTCGAGGGTTCAAATACCAATAACTTATGAGAACTGAAGTTCGGTTACTAATAAGGGCGGAACATTTGCAATAGAAAGCCCAATGTTATTATGTATATATATATGAGTGCGCATTGGTGTCAAGGAAGAAAACAAAACCACTCAGCGTAATTAGCCACGTGTTTTTCCTGAAAAAAATGGTGTTTTGTAGTTCCAACAGATCGAAAACAGTTTCTTTTGATTACACTAGGGAACTAATGGACAGGGCGCGGGAACAAACATTTAGTTTGAATAATTTTTTATGCTAGAAATAATGGTACCTTAACATTAGGCAACTTGTTTGTTCACAAAATCACACCTATATCTGTTTTACGTTGTGATATAAGCATTCGCTTTATCGGTTTATTTATGAATTCCACGGAATTGTATATCATGCTTGGTCCCATGTCCATAGTTTTCAGTTGCTTTAGTAATTTTTTAATATAACCATGCAATTTCAATTAATTTATTTCAACACAAATAATTGAACTCCCCGCGTAAGAAACTACCACAGACAGCTTGATAGTGCCTATGACTCATAAAATGTGACGCCGAAAAGAATCCTTCTGCATGAAAATCACCGGAGTGCAGCCAATTGTCGACGGCGCATAGGGAGTTACTTTCAGTAGATGGCGATGTCAAAATGTGCAAAGAGCATCGTTTCAAATCAGTGAACAGCTTTCTACACAGGTCCATTGGGTGGCGCCTGGCGTTCGACTTCAGCCAAACTTATCGGAGATCATTTCTTTTGCGCTCTTTAATTTCATTCGGCAAATTTTACGGAAGATGAATATCAGACTTTATTTGAAGCCTGGCATTCACTTATCTTACCAGTCTCATACCTTGAGAACGTCGTAAGCAAATGTCCATATGACAAAAAGTTTATTTCATAAGGCCAATATTTTGAAATGCTGCAAATGGGTACTTTAGTTAAAGAAATTTTCTAGTCAGCATAGGCTGGTCTATCAAAATATTTGTCGAGAGCTTAATTTCTTTAAATAAAACAGGCCGAGACAATATCACTTTTTTATATTATCTACCTGATTATATTAAACTTTTCTAGTCGTTATAAAAGACGTTTCCAGTCTCGAAGTTAGAAAAGGTTGGTGTACGGAAACCAAACATCGAACAGTAAACTTGTCAGTTCATCTGTTCTTGGTGATTCAGCAGATTGTTAATCATGCTGTCGACCAACTCTTTCACTAAGCACTCATGCAATATAGTCTGTTGCAATATAAGATGATCAGTTCAATATCTGACTTGAGCGCGAGCTATCTACCTTCCGTACCGCTCGGTGCGCGCACAGCCAAAGCACGGCGGCAGGCATTGAGCGCACTGTGCAGGCGGAGCTTGTCCTGCTCTTAATTTTTTTTTTCTTCTTGAAATTAGTGCCCGCGGGTACGGACGTGGACTATGGTACTCCTCCCTGCGCATCAGCGCAGTTGTTTCACCACCGAACCTGGCCGAAATTAATGATGGACGGAATCAGACGCATACAGTGTTCGTAAAAACAGATTGCAATTTAGGCTCGAAACCACTTCGTGGTTTGCCAAGTGGCTCAATACTATTGTTTAATTCGCTGTGTGCTACTCGAAAGAAATTCATATCGCAAAAATTAATCGAAAGTGGCATGAAACAGCATCACAATCGTGTGTACGTTGAAACCGAAACCGACCAAATTGAAGCAACCTAATGGCGCCGAGTGCGCCAGCGAGCGCCCTCTACCCGCCGGTCAGGCAACTACTGTAATGAAAAGGTCTATATACGAGCAGCATTTGAGCCTCACTTGATTTTGCACGTCAGGAAGCTGTAGGCGATCACATTTATTGTGAAGCCGATCATTCAGGAGCTAGAGAGCGTGATTTTCACACCGCGGTACCCGGTGGCAATCAGTTCATTGAATGATGTTTCATCGACAAATCATTTCATCGACCAGCTCAGATTAGCTTCTTTCTCTAATAAGCTACATGAGACTGTCGCCGCGAAGAGGCGTGTATGGGTCGGCCACGTGGTTTAATATTTTTGAATGAGCCGCCTCAGACTGTCACCGCGAAGAGGCGTGAACGCAGGTGAGGGGGTGGGTTAAGGCTCACCCCAGGGCTAGGCAGTATTGCGATAGAAATGTATCGTGATAGTATCTTAGAGATACTTTAAAGTATCTGTATCTCTGTATCGAGATACATCTGTAGAACGCATTTGTATCTCAGTAGTGAAATACATTTACAACGTATCGCTTTTATCGTGATACTTTGCCCGACTTAGGCATCTCGTTACATTTGTTGCCCTTTTTAAGATAAATTTAAAGGATAAAAACATCTGTTTGGTGCAACCTGCTTCAGAATTTATAATATAAGCCTGCCATATAACACGATCCATCTCAGTCACCAACAATAAAAAATAATTGTGGTTTAAAGAAGGTTACTTGCAAGAATAACAAAATCAGCTCCTCTCACAAAGCCCTCCACTCTTTCCAATACACGATCTCACCAAGCGTTCGGCGCATGCGCGAGGCAGCCATAACTTTAGTTCACAGGAGGCAATTGGCACTGCACGAGACTGTTCATGCCCTGCACGCGCAGAGCTCCAGCCAGGTTGTCGCACGCGCAGAAAGACTAAAGTTCCCTCGATGCATTGCGGCAGCGGTGGCGTTGTCAAACTGCCTGGTGAGATAGGTCTATTTAGCAGAGCGACCGCTGTGAAGGAGTTGAGTGGAGAAAAAGTATGGCCCTGTTGTTCAATCTCCCTTCCTATGGGTGACTCAGAAGCTTATAATCTGACAGTTTGACATGCGCCTTCATTGCAAAACAGGGTTCATTTCGGGCAGATGCCTTTTGTCAAGCATGGTACGCAGTCTTTACAGTTCTGTAACTATATGTGGTTCAACGGGAGTGACAGGTTCTTTTAGCGGAATGAATGATAGATAAAGAGTTTGAGGTAATGGGTAGTGCATAAAATGGCACAAAAAGAGGAGCACAAGCATAAATTACCTTTCGCATTCGCCGCGAACTGCACCCTTTCCACGTAGCACTGTTTGGGAACAAATGTATTTCTATGAGTATCTGTATCTGTATTCTGGAATACTTTTTCGTCGTTATTGCGGAGGTATCTCAGGGATATCCCGTTGCCTAAAAGACAAATGTATCTCAATATCTGTATTTTGGCCTTAAATCACATGTATCTCAGTATTTGTATTCCCAAATACTTTTTGGAGTGTCTCTGCCCAGCCCTGACTCACCCCAGTGATACACACGTGACAAAATGTCCCTACAGTGTGCAATGCGTGTAACGAGTGCCAATGAAACGACTGTGTCGACGAAACGCGTGTCCATGAAAAGTTGTCCACAAAACGAGTTTCAATGTAACGAGAGGGACCCCGCAGTACCACCATCACTGAAAGTTGCAAATAGCATATGAATAGGTCTAGCACTGCAAAGTATTAATAAGCAAAATATATAGTGAATCCTAAGATACAAGGCTCCAAATGTCACCAACACGTCAAAGATGCAATGTTTGGCATTCTTGATTTCTGGAATGAAATATGCCAAAGCAGTTTAGTTTAGAAAGAAAAATAGGCCATGTGTCATACATTTACAAGAAAAATGACTGCGACTGTTCGTTTTTACCTATTTATAACAACCGACAAAACTGGGTACAAATATCGAGCTGCCTGAATGTTAGAAGACAAGGTTAATAAACAGGCGAGCTGGTTAACGTTACACGATTTTAACTGGAGACGATGGATGACAAGACGGACAAGGGACAAACAAACCCTTGCACCCCTTGTCCCTCACCCCCTTTGTCATCTGCCGTCTTTGGTTAGAATCATCTGTAGGCTAAACGTAGCACTTCACCTTGCTCCTCTCCAGATATTTTGTGAAAAAAGAAATGTGTTTTTTTCTAAACAATTTTAACAAGTGGTTTTGTTCAATACGAAAATGAGGACATAATATATAATTTTTGAAGCAAATGAAAATTCTCACCCGACACCAGTGTTTAATTCCAAATGCAACCACCCTATTATTGCTATTTTTAGGCGTGTTGTGCATTATTATTTGACAAAAACGTCAAATCTTAGGGCGTAGATGTAATACAGCAATTATTTTTTCGAAAACAACATCCGACGGCACCTTTTGGTGTCTGCTTCAAGGCGTAGAAAGAGGGGTATGTCACAGTCTTTGATTAGATATTGAATAGGAAAATTAGTCATCCATGAGTGTAATTCTGGGATTTTTAGGAAGCTTAGAGTTATAAATTGAGTTATCACCATAAATAGACAATCTCAGAATCTACTTGAGTGGCCCTTTCAGGGTGAATGGAGCATAGTTGCCAGGTGATGGAAGAACAAGAAATTGTGGGATCATAAAGCATGGATCCTTCTTCGCAACAGCAATGCTTCCTGCCGACCTAGGATCAAGTTACGGAAGACTCGCAAGCTGCTCCCAGAACTATTCTGCAAAAGAATCCCCTGCACTCATCAAGTTCCTTCAAACAAGGAAACTTTTATGCCTTGGAATGACAACTGTTGGGGTCAATAAACCTACCCACACCTTTAGTGAATGTGCAGTCTTGCAGTACAAACAATCCCGAGCTGCAAAGCAAGTTGCTCTCTTTGGAAAAGAAAGGAGAAATGTACATATTGAGCAGAGATTGTCAGATACGAATGATTGTGGGGCAAGAGTTTCAGCATCAAGAAGCCAACGAAAGGAAGACAATTCTCTTGTTAGTTTAGCTCCGTCTGTTTTTACAGTACGAGTAACGAGGTAATGAGAAACAGTGATGCAAAAATTTGATGCCATGCATCAATATCCCACCTTTATCAGGAAAGTAGTCTGAAAGGTGCTCCCGCCCATCACTGTCCCTGCGCAAGGCACGGCCGTGGACAAGTTCGTCTATGGGTAGCCGAGTGCGTCTGTGGACAAAACACTGTCGTGTTAACAAATTTGGTTTACACCGGGGTGAGATATGAGCCAAATGGAGAGGATAGACAACATCGCTCACATTCAAAGTCGAATCAACCAATACATACGCTCTTCCCGACCACTAGAAGGTTTCGTCAAGCATTATAAACCCAAAACACAGGGGTCTCAACGGGCCAATATGAGAAATCCCAGCCCTACCTGCTGCAGAAGGGAGCACAAGCAAGTAACAAGGTGGACAGGCACGCTGGAGCTCAGGCTGCACAACTTGCTTGTCTTATCGACAAGCGGAAATAGGTGCCATCAACATGCCATCTACGAGTTTATAGAGGAAATTGGCCCAAGCCACAGTATGTCGGCGTCGTAGCACACACATGAGCCACAAGGGCAACAACAGACAGCATGAGTGATGCAGTGCCATACACCCTCGAGCTTGTTGGCGATGCGAACCTGAGATAGTGACTAGATGAAACTAGAGTAACTGTATACTGCAAACAACTTAATTTTCGCGGGCTCAAATTTTCGCGAATCGCGCCAAAGCTGAAAATTTAAAATTATTTGCGGGTTCTAATTTTTGCGAATCGAGTGTAGCTTCCGTAGCATTCACACATAGCCCGAATCGTTTGCGGGACATATTTTTCGCGAATTGTAGGCGATTCGAGAAATTCGCGAAAATTGGGTCCTTGCGAAAATTTAGTCGTTTACAGTATTCAGTTACTGAGCAAGAGTACAACAGCTCCAGAAGGAACAAAGTGTACAGAGTGCCCAAAAAGCTTCAGCTGTATTACAGTGGCCAGGTGGGCTAGTTGGTACAGTCTCCTGCAACATGAAAGGCCCACTGGGAGCGTCTGGCTGAGACGGCAGTTGGAGGGGGCGCTGCACGCGCTCCATTCTGTTTCGATGGGAGTAGACTCGAGGCGCAACCAATCCTGCCGGGCCTGAATGCGCTTAAAGGGATTCTGAAACAAACAATTCAGTGTCTATAATAATTGGCGCACAATTTTTCCACGAGCCAGCAGCCGCCGGTGTGTGCGAGCACACGCAACGAAATTGATGCCATTGTCCCTCATTCACGCTGTGCAACAATTTCAGTGCTTTGTTTAAATAATTTGGGAATTGGTGTCTCGACCTTTCTGAAGTAAAGAACAAAAAACCGCTTTTGCCTGCATGTCCTAGTTTTTATTTTAAAAATGTACAAAGATTGAGGTTTTCGGCACCCCTCAACTCCTTTACCATCTTCCGAGTCACGTGCGCTATAACGTCAATAGGGGACACGCGGGGCTCCGGTGAAGCTCTCTCTCTAGAGTCATCAGTGAGCAGCGAGAACTTACCCGCTCGCGAACACGTGCTTGCGCAGCTTGATCAACATGGCGAAAGGGAGAAAGTCTCATCCAAGTCTCGCCATCCCCGTCCGGGGCTCTATCTGCCCCCATCCCCCTACGGCTCCTGGCGGCGGTTTGCGGTAGCAGATGGAGCTGACGGTTTTGTTGACCTCAAATAGATGGCGCCACTAAACTTTATAAAATAAAAGTTTTGTCGATGATTCCAGGTTTTTGACGCATTTATATTTGTGTTGAAACGACAAGATTTATAGAAAAATGACCTTTTATCGGGCAGGTACTTGCACAACTTCCTATTTATTTACAAGTCCCCCATTGACGTCATGCCGCGTGGTTCTCATGGTTGCCGCTTGCGGCTGCAGGTCGGGAATTATTCTCATTTTTGCCTCGCGATTATGCAGCAGAATCGCAACATTTCGAAGGAAGGAGATGCGTTTTCTGTTCTTCGTAACAAGATAAACAATGTCAAAAGTAGAAGATGCAACGTTAAAATCGTTGCACACCTCTTTTAAGATGACAGTGAAATATGTGGGCTCCGGGGAAAAGGAGAATAAAAACAAGCTTTTCATCTCCACAGTGGGGTCTGGTGTAGAACATAAGCGATTAATTGGTCTAAGAAGCATGTAGCTTTCACTTGTGTAGATGAAAAGCACGTCTTTATTTCCTTTGGCCCAAAACCCATACATTTCACTGTCATCTTTAGCGAAAATAGGGGACTATGACGTCAATTTTGTTGAGTGTGCTCGCGCACACCGGCGGCTGCTGGCTCGTGAAAAGAATGTGCGCCACTTATTATGGGCACTAAATTGTTTGGTTCAGTATCCCCTTAACAAATTCTGGTTTTGATTTAGCGGAAGAGCACGCTTCGTCGGTTTCATGCCCAGAGTTATGGTCACCAAGGCTCGAAGCAAGCATAATCATCACTTGTTTTTATCAGTTGTATCTGGCGTAAAATGTCGGAACAAGCACGGCCAAATAATATAAAAAATATTGAAGTTATACCCGAGTCCTATATTCAGAAGGTAAAATGAGTTCAAGAGTGCATTCATTCGTTAAAAGGTTGGCACAGATCTCGCGCTTTAATATCACAACAATCTCCTTGGCCCAGGCCCGTTGAGGCTTTAGTAAAACATGGCCGTGGCATGACGCTAAGAAACTGCTCTCCGCCACCGAAAAAGAAACGAGAAATTGATAAGCGCGCACTGCGCTTTAGCTGAGCCTCGAGCGAGTTCTTCCCTCGGGGTAGAATAGAATCGCCCAAAGCGTGCATGGCACCCCCGCCAGCCACCGGCTATGCAAGACGCACCCAGTGGGTCATTATGTTGCAGGAGACTGTACATGACTGAAGAAAATAAAATTAGCACTGAAAACACAAAGATTAAAAAAGGAGAAGTACACGGGACCAGAGACGGCACCAGACTTTTTATAGGGAAGTGGGGGAGGGGGGGAGTGGGCAGGCGTATGGCATGTGCTCTTGGTACTTCAGCTGTCACAATCAAACTGTAAGAGAAAAATAGAAAAGAAAACGGGGAGAATGGCTTGGTAGAGCCCTAGTCCCTCCCAGCCATACTGACCGCGAGCTGTTTGGGACATTTGTAGCAGATATCGGCTCAGTTTATTTCAGTATTTTACAGTGTGTTCACAACCCTACTTATTGTAGCATTTCAAATGCAGGATATTTACACATATTTATATTACACATCACTACATAAACCGTTCATGCTCGTGGCCCTGAGTTCAGTGGAGATGAATTCGTCTGTTATGATGGGCAACATCAAAGATGGTGACGATGTCACTTGGGTTCAGGCTTTTCGCTGTGGCTTTCTCCACGGCAAGAACGGCCAAGTTCACGAGTCTCTCGTCGGACATTTTGTACCGTAGATATGTCTTCAGCCGACGCAGGCACGAGAATATGCGCTCACAAACAGCACTGGATGTAAGAATCGTCAAAGCTATCACACAAAGATTATACGAGTCTTGATATGCAATTCGAAGGTTTTCCAGGAATTCCGCAAACATCAATCTGGTCGTCACCTTGCGCTTGATATCTTTTTCGTACCGCTGGAGAACTTTGGGAAGCAGTTTCATTTCAGCCGCCAGGCTGTCTCAGCTGCATGAGTAGTGCTTTGCTAGCAGTTCGATCAGAGTGATGTCCAAACGATCAGAGTGATGTCCAAACGATCATGCTGAGGTACCAAACAGTTGAGGACCCTGAAGATGTCATTTTTGCCAAACCTCCAGTGAATCTTTTTGCCCCTTCTATCCAAAACAATGAGACAAAAGGGGACATGGTAGTAATTTTCGGTGCACCAGCTGGAGTCATCCCCAGGGGGCTGGATGTCCGTGAGATATTTCACCAGGTGTGCAGGCAGACGGCTCACTCTTCGGTCTGTCGTGGGACTGATTTTGTTCATCTCTGCAACGCTTGCGATTTGGCTACAAATGCTAAGCCCTCCGACATCTTCAGGTTCCTAAACCGCTCACATACTGCAGTGACCATTATGAAGGCCCGAGATAGATTGCAGATTTTGTTCTGCAGGTAATCCGAAAGGATTTGCAGCCCACCCAAAGCATAGCCAAAAAAGCATAAATGCACAACAAACATGAAGTTTAATTAACTGGTGCAGAATTCCCCGAGCTTTTGTGCTTTTGGCAATCTGTGCGAGTGTGATAATTATTGCAGGGAGCGTGCAGATGACGGCTTTGCATGCACTGACTTGGCACGTCCCATCTTGTCTCACCGATTTCTTTCAGTTCGATTGTCGAGCCGCACACCTGCTCCTGGATTGCAATGACGGTCGCATGAGTAATATAACTAGGTCCAGTCGATGGTTGAGGAAATGAACGTAGATGGCTTGAGGCATCTCTCTTTTGAGGAGTGAGTCCAGTCGATGGTTGAGGCAATGAACGTAGATGGCTTGAGGCACATCTCTTTTGAGCAGTGCTTGGACACAATTAATCTTACCGCTCATCACACTAGTGCCATTGTAGGTTTGAGCGATGCAGTTTTCTAGATGAGTGCCACATCTGGCTAGCCTTTCCTTAGCACAGCTAAGGAGTGAGGCTGCACCCAGGGTCTTCGCATTTCAAAACCTTAGAAAACATTCATAGACGGACAGCGGCGTAGACCTTCCATTTTCCGGGGGGGGGGGGGGGGCAGGCTGAGAAGTTCTCTGAGGGGGGGGGGGAGGGGGGGGAGGATGCATTTTTGTGCAATTTTTTTTATACCGGAAATTATCAGTAGTTTATTTTAGGGGGTACATTTGACAGCCTATGTATATTGCCATATGTCCGTCGCTCTGTGCGTTATTTTGTTTACATGCCACTACTAGAAGCTCGTTACATGGCACGTGAACAGCATTTCGGTAAAGATCATGGCCCGAAGGGGGGGGGGCAGAGCTCTGCCCCCCCCCCCCCCCCCTTCCCCCCTGGATCTCACTAGGGGGGGATGCCCCCCCCCCCCCTCGTAGTCTATGCCTATGTAGACTGATCCATTTAAAAAATACCACACTACTACAGAGAGCTATTCTGTTCTTCTGACATCTCGGGATCCGTCCGCCAATAGTGTTAACCATTGGACGCTGTCTACTTCTGTCTTGAAGTGACAAAGTCAAATCAAACATTATGGAGAGTATCTTGTCCTGAATTGAATGATGCATATATTTTGCACCAACAGAGTCATCCTTCAGTTTTTTTAGCACGATATAATCGGTTTTTGTGACAAGCTGAAGCAGCACAAAAAATCTCCTATGCTGTCACTCAAAGCTGACTCATCATCTGCTCTTTGGGCTATTCCCTGCACCGTGGAAAACCGGAGCACGTCAGCGATCACAGAGATGTAATGGCAGTTCTCCCTACCTCTGCTGAATATGCCTCACTGAGGTACACGATGACTGAATTGTCCTTGCCACTTGCCTTCATCTGCTTGAAGGAAGCCCGTGATGCTTCGGACATCTTCTGTGCCGTGCAGTGGGAATAAAGTCGCAGTCCGCCGTCCTACTGAGGAGCCTTCTTTTAGTTTCAATACCCCTCTGCCACAAACACAGCGCTTCCACTCTTCGGCCAAGGAAACGACCCACAGGAAAAACAAGAAGATGTGTTTGTAGACACGCTGTACTCCAATCACGGGAAGCAGTCGGACTTGGAGTGCTATAGCATGGGCTGTACTGGTATATCATGGGCTCCTTCTGGCGGCACTTGTCTTCAGTCCAGGAGGTCGGGCTTTGTGTTGTTCATTCCGAAAGCTGGCAATCGGTGCCGTCATTGCTATCACGAACTATGTTTGTTTAAATTGGGGTGGCGGGGCAAGTTTTAGGGGGCGTGCCCGCCACCTCTCCCCTCCCCTTCCTTTAGCGCCGTCCCTGCAAGGTACAGGCGCTAATTGACAACTTACGATTTTTTTGAATCGTAGGATTAAAACAACTATCATTGTATTTCATTTTCTTCGAGCTAAAGGTGCACGGAACTTCGATACACGTTTTTCGAACCCTAAGATGCCGCAGGCTTTTGAAGCAATGTACATAGTACGCACATCAAACCTATTCAAGTAACATATGTTACTACTTAATTTTAAATTAGAGCTAGATGAAACTTAACCAAACACAAACCCAACCACCGCCCCCCCCCCCCACACACACAAACACATACGCTTTCTCATCCCCCGTGAACCAGGCAATGAGATGCCCACAAAAACCTTACTTCACGAGTTTTTCAGAACAGGCCTTACTCACGAAGACCTCTCAAGCAAAACGCGAATTAACGACCCCTCAAGAACACTCACCTTCCAAACCTTTCAAGGACGGGTCGAAGTGACGCGACAGACGCCCTGCGACGCCGGACGTGGTTTTCTGTATCCAGCGATCTGAAGGGTTCCGGCTGATGCAGAATGGGTGACCGCATGACCAGAAAAAACAGACCGCATCGGACGCATCGAAGTTGTCGCAGCTTCGAAGTCCCGCCAGTCCCACGTAGCCGATGGGATTGTTGTAACGACCGCCCAATCCGGTCAAACGCGCGCCGCACTCCTAAAATCTCATGTTGCCAGCACACGCTTTAAAAATCGCTATTATTAGCGAAAAGTCAAGGGTTCAGCCGTTTAGCTCAACTCATCTTCCACATAAACCAGAAAGTAGCCAATATTCCAATATTAAAGAAATAATAAATATTTAGGGCAAAGACGACTCAACCACATCTTTGTGAAAGATGTGGTTGTATCGAACAAGGTTCTACCGGTTCTACATGTTTATTCTTTCTTCAATCTTGACCTGCATGTAGACCTGTGCGCCGGTCAGAAATCGCCGGCGGCGGCGCGCCGGTGTTTGTACCTCCGGCGGCGGCGTGTTGACGGCGCGGGGATCAACGGATCGGCGGCGGCGTGGCGCGGAAGAGGGAAGGGAGGGGAGGGGTGTAAATTAGAAAGTGAGGGGGAGAGAGAAAAGAGTCCATTTTGTTCTTAGCCCGAGACTGAGGCAGGAAAAGAGGAAAGTTTCGAAGTAGAAGGAAAATGAACAGTCGAGGACACGTCTCGACTAGAGACGTGTCCTCGACTGTTCATTTTCCTTCTACTTCGAAACTTTCCTCTTTTCCTGCCTCAGTCTCGGGCTAAGAACAAAATGGTTAAAGGGCAACTCCGGTCCATACTTTCGATTTTCGGATTATGACTGTTTTTAGTCCAGTCAGCGTCCCTGAATTGCAAGGTGTAACTTTTTTCTCGTTATTATGTGTAGTTTTAAAGATATCGACGCCTGAAAGTTTTGTATGGGGCGCGGCCAACAAAACCGAAACTAGCCGCTCGAGGCCCCGGCAACACTGGAAATCAGCCGCTATGTGAACGTGACGTCACGATCGTTCTCGTTCAACGAGTACGCAGGCCGAGTGCCACCTACCTCTGTTGCGCTAGCTGTCTAAAGATAGGAGGTAAGCTGATTTTGTTTTAATTGTGTATATGTGGTAGTTATCGACCATATGTAGAAAGAGTTAGTGCGTCTAACCAAAAGCTAGCGACTGGAAAACCCCTGAACTCGTACGGTGCCGTACTCGGCGGCCACCGCCGTGCGTGCGCTATGCCGTACTCGTCGCTTGTATACCCAAAATGCTAGCGACTGGAAAACAAGTGAACTCGTTCGGTGCCGTACTCGGCGGCTGTCGCCGTGTGTGTGGTCTTCCGTACTCGTCGGTAGGCCTAAATTGTCATCTGGGCTCCGTGGATGGAGCGGCGTTGCTTTACGCCGCGCTGCCAGTGACGTACAGTACTGGGGGCCCTCTCGCTTTCGCGCTGCGCGTCAGTCCCAGACACGAAGGTTTGAGGCTCCGGCGCGGGCTGCGGCGCCCGAACACACGTGTGCTGGGTTGAACACGACTGCTTTTCGTTATTTTTTCTTCGGGTGCCTAAAAGCCGAAGTCCAAAGTCCACTCGTCGAACAGCGTTCACCCACACCTTCTCCAATTTCCGGTCCGTCGGACACTTGTGAAAAAGGACCTCCGTATTGCGCAGAGGGTTGTTTGAGCAGCCCACAGCGCTACAAGTTGCACTCGGCATCTTTTGAGGAACAGCTGGGCAGTCTTGGGCGCACCGAGTTGCTTGCTAAAACGAGTCTGAAAGTCCTCCCAAGCAAATAAACAAAAGGCTTTACCGAAGCTACATGGGCTACAGATAAAAGCAACGGCTAAACACGCCAATCACAAGCCGAAGTAGCGGTGGTGGCGGCTCAAAGAAGCGCACTCCACGCAACGCCCGCACTGGAGGAAAAAAAGAGAACGATACGGACGTCACAGCCCAATGTTGCTTTAGCGATCGGCAACCCGCTGGCCGCCCGCTAAGGAGCAGCGGCTCGCGGCGGGTCGCATTTTTGTTATCGGCATTAGTTGAGAATGCGGCGTCCTACGGACGTAATATTTTGGCCGGAGTCGTATTTTGTGTCACTACAGCGATACCGGTAATTTATTTCATTTTGAGTTTTGGCCGGAGTTGCCCTTTAACATCCACCAGCTCGCCTGCGCAATCACTACATCATCAGAAAAGAGTCGTTTGAATTTGGAAAACAAGATGCAAATAACCATAAAAAGAAACACACTTTTTTATTTTATTTTTTTCGGGAGAGCCTTCGCTTTCTGGATATTGCCTTCGCTGTGAAGAGTACGTCCGTTAGAAGAATCAGGTACTTCGGCGTCTTATTTAGTCTCGTTTGTAAGAGAATATGTCGCCGGCTGGCAGCCGCGGCCCAAGATCCTCCGCAAGACGAGGACCGACGACAACAGGTATTTTATCACCGCGTTCCACCTCACCACGCGCTTGTCGCACGCCCCGTACCTAACAAGTCGACCGAGCACGTTATTCGATCACCGACAACGACAGGGTCTTAACCTCTCGTTCGGCTTCGCGGTACTTCGCCGACAGGCGCATTCAGAGCATCCCTAACAGTACTTTACACTCCCGAAGCTAACAGGTTTGTCGAACGCGCCAACGGAAAAATCCTTCCATGTCTGCGCGAACGAACGTCAACGGCGACATCGACCATTGGAGCGATTACCTCCAGGCAACCAGCTTTCAAGTGAACCAGCAGCCGTACGCCGGACTTCAGACATCACCGTTCGAACTCCTGTTCAACTTTGTCCCACGTAGACCAATGGAATTTTCCCCGCTTCCCGACGAGGTCGGCGACGTCCGCGCGAACTGCGACGCTGCAAACGCGAACCTCGCTTACCTTCACGGCATGAAGCGTTCCTCCTACGATGCAAAACATCGACCAGCTCCATACAGCGTCAGGGACAGGGTATGGTACACGAACGGCCTTCCTACCTCGAAACTTGGCCTGCTTTTTCTCACGGACACTTAAAGGAGCTGTGCAACGATATTCAATTGGAATGTTTTTCTCTCTACACGAGCTTACTGGCACAGCTGGGACTCAAGGACACTCACACGCAACGCCACTGGCCAAGAAGCTCCTTTGTTGCGGTGTAATTTCAAGGACAAAAGCGGTCATTTTCATTCAATCTCTCCTTTGCAAAATTTGATGACGTAACTCGGGGATCGCAGTACACCCAAGTGACGATATTTGAATGCGGTTCATAGATTGGACCCGAGCATTGCGTGGGCACTCGACTTGGGCTCGTGACAATTGCTAGCTCGAGAAGCATTCGGGTTGTGACCCGTGTCCAATCACTGCAACGACGACAACAGCCGAGCCATAACAATGTCTGGAACTCAGCGCGTGTCCTGTGCTTTGCCAACCCCAGCGCGTGGCTATGATCAACACTGGCGGCATATAATCGGCTCCAGATCACGTGGCCGCTTGTTCTGGCTGCGAGTTGAGGGGGTGAACGCTGCTCGTTTTTCTTAAATTTTTTTCTGGGACTTCTATTGCGTGGGGTGAAAAACGAACGCGTGTTTCATAGGTCATTAACGTCAGGGATCCGTTTTAAGCGGTATTTGTGCACAGTACAAAAATTGTTGCACAGCTCCTTTAAGTCATCACCAACGTGAACAATCAAACCTACACCATTTCCAGGTTTACCCCGCAAGGCACCCTGGATTGCCGCCTAGCTGCCGCACGATAGCTCTCTTTTTTTTTTTTTTTTCACGAACAACCTGCAGCGATTGACGTCGATATCAACCAACTCGCCTTGCACCGCAGCAGATCCTCCGATTACAAGCGCATCACGCCGACGCCGCCCTCCACGATGGCTAGACGCGTAACGAGAGGATCATGACAACATTAACAAAATGTGCGAGGGCGCAAGGATTTTGAACTCGGGAGTGTAAGCAAATACGCTGGCGGGAAAGACCCGTAAGGAGAGCCTCCCCGACTCGACCGGATGGGGGCTCGACTTCGACCCCCGATGCTGGATCTCCGCGTGAAAACGAGAAAGGAGGACCCCTAGAAACACGATGTGACAGGAACAAGCCAGGCGTTAGGATCAAAATAAAATACGTTTGAAAGAAGCCCGAAAACGGACGCGAATATAGCCCTCTTGCATCAAATTATTTCGCAAAGTTTTCATGAAATCGTTTTGCAGTCTACAAAACCGTTCAGTCCGTTATAACGCTTTAAAAACACAGCCGAGCTGGTGAAGAACTTCCATAGTAACGGGAGACACGGAACGATAAAAATAACGGACAAGACAACAAGTCTCAAACACAACTTCTATACCCGTTTTCACGTCAAGAACTCTAGTAGAAAGAGTCCGACTCTCCACGAACCATTACTAATTTCCACCTTTATACGGAGAATTAAGATATATGTTGCTGGATTCTACTATATATATTATAAAGACGTGCACGTTCCAGCGCCAAAATCATCACTTTTTTCTCCGACAACCAAATCTCGTAAGACTTTGCGTCGCGTATACGAACATCTTTGTTTCATGTATGTGCTCTCCCCCTCTGTAATGCCTTTGGGCCTTGAGGGTACTTCAATAAATAAATAAATAAATAAATGCTCGAAACTTTCTTTTTTTCTTGAAAAAACGGGTATAGTTTATTTGAACAACGAACGCTCTTATATATATACGTCAAGAGTCAAGACCCTCACCCACCAAAAAATAACTCTTTAAATATACGGTAACACCATACACTCTTTTGTCCCATATAACGCACCCCAAAACTTTAGTTCGACGCACAGACGGCCATACATTTTACGAGGGGCTTGATAACGGAGCGATCTAACTTATTAAATATCTGAAGTACGTATCAAAGACGACAGAAAGAAAATACTGAGGTTTTGCAGTAGGGCCAAGAAAACACCGATTATTATTTTTTTTTTGTAGTTAGTAAAACATACATTAGCTATTTTAATTACCGGCCGCTGGCACCTCGTCAGGCAACCTGTCTGCCTTTTGTGCCAGCGGACCGTTCAAGTCGAATTTGTATTTTACTTGAAAAAATAAAATGATTGATTGATTGATTGATAATAAGTTGTACCACACGGCTTTTAAGCCTCTCGTGAAAGTTAGTACTGCCAGATCGACGCCTGAAGTTTTGGGGTGTCTTATATGGGACAAAGGGTGTGAGAATACACCCTTTTTTTGAGAGTGTAGGTCACTGAAACTCAGACAGATCCAAAGGATTCATGGTCACACCAAC